TCACCCTCCTCCTACATAGATACAGGGACATTATAATATTCACCCTCCTCCTACATAGATACAGGGACATTATAATATTCACCCTCCTCCTACATAGATACATGGACATTGTATAATATTCATAAATTGTTATTAAAGTTAAAAAATATATTATTTACCCTCCTCATACAAAGTTATTGAAATACTTAATGAAACTATTTTGCACTTTATCAGGCGTCTATAGTTTATGCTAAAATCCGTTAAAGCAGTGCTATAGAAGATTCAGGGCAGCTACTAATCTTTTGCAAACTTAATGGTAAATTTTACTGTACACGTTTTATTAAGTAATCATCGTGCTATAATGATAATGTAGTTGTATATTATAGCACATGTGCTGTAAAGATTAAAAAAGATATTTCTAGAATTAGTGATTAAATTGAAAAAAAAATTATTTTCTTGTTACATTTAGAAATGGCCACACTGTATTCAGTGCTTCAACATTTGCACAGGAAAAATATAGTATAAAAAGCTCTCTCTAAAGAAAGAACATTTGTGTCCGAAAAAGCGGTTCAAACAAAAGAAAATTTGTTAAAATATATTTAGTGCAGTTCAAATTGACACTTTTAAGCTCATAAGAAATGTCAAATTTTCATCAAAAAAATTTGTGCCAAAAAAAATAATTTAAGGGACAAAATGGCAGATCCTGTATTTTATAGAATAATTATCAAATCTCAACAGTTCTTTATCTTACCGATGTAAGAAGCTTGAACCAGCCGTCAACAGGATTCTTGATAATCTCCGATATACCAAAACTGAACAATAAGTTTTCTTTACGAGACTGCTTGACCAATCAGAGATGAAATATTCTGACCAATCAGAGATCAAATATTCTGACCAATCAAAGATCGAATATTCTGACCAATCAGAGATTGAATATTCTGACCAATCAGAGATCGTATATTCTGACCAATCAGAGATCGAATATTCTGACCAATCAGAGATCGAATATTCTGATTAATCAGAGATCGAATATTCAAGTGTCAGCTTCGGTTTCCATTGTCGGGAGCGCATTTCCGCATTTTGAAGAATTGGACATTAACCAAGAAATTTTGAGTTTCGATAAACTACCCACATGTCCATCATACTTCCTTTTAGGGGGTGGAGGGGGGTTCAAGTGTTAGCTTACACATTTCAGTTTTACAACTCACATAAAGCAATTCCCCTTAGTAGATTAAGCCAAATATTTTCTCTTTATCTCAATCAAAAGTATCAACCTCTCAGGGGCGGCAAATTTGAATTGAGAAAATTAGTTAACTTTGAAGCTATTCTTAAACCCAGCCCGAGGAATTGACGAAAGATTTTGTAGAAAAACTTTCTCGACCCTCCCCCCTGACCCCTATCAACACAGGAAAACTAATGGAACTGAGTAATAAATGGTTAAATGTACCTTAAAGCTCCCATGAAATCGTTTCTGCTCGTTCTGTCCCAATCCCAAACCTTAAAATGTCCAAAATATTTCGTTATTCATATTCGTCATAAAGCGCAGCAAACAAAAATATTAATCTAGGATGTTATGTACTTTTCAAAATTAAAAGTATATTAATGAAACTCTTGTGTACTTCATCATTATTACTCACTTCGGTAAAGCTCGGTATAAAATTAAATCTAAAAAGGCTTGAACCTTCTCGATAAAGAGATAATTTCTGTCCAAAAACTTCATAACACTGCGAACCAAAATAACGTGTCATAAAAAGTTATTTTAAATAACTATTTTTGTTTTTACCTCAACTTGGAGACGACGATCTTTATCTTCAGGCTTCAAATCACTAAACATTAAAGTATAAAGATTCAAAATTAAATGGTTCTTTTAAACAGAAAAATTTCCATTACAAAACAAAATTAATAAAATGTTAAATTAAATATTCAAATTTTAAGTTTATCCACAATGTTTATGGCTTCTTGCTTTATATTCTGTAAATGTACATTTTGTAAATACTAATGTAAATTGTAATATAAAATAAAAACTTTACTCGTACTAAGTAAATTATACTGTGTGTACGGTAACTATACAGTGTACATTGTAAACTGTAAAGTGTACTGTATATGGTAATTATACCTTCCAAATGGTAAACTGTACTGGGTAAATGGTAAATTGCACTGTGTACATTATAAACTGCACTCTGTACATGGTAAACTGTACTGTGTGCATGGTAAACTGTATTGTGTACATGGTAAACTGTACTGTCTACATGGTAAACTGTACTGTGTACATGGTAAACTGTACTGTCAACATGATAAACTGTACTGTGTACATGGTAAACTGTACTGTGTACATGGTAAACTGTTCTGTGTACATGGTAAACTACTGTGTACATGGTACTTACTACTGTGTACATGGTAAACTGTAATGTATACATAGTAAACTGTATTGTATACATGGTGAATTGTACTTTGTACATAATAAACTGCACTGTGTACATGGTAAAATGCTTTATGTATATGGTAAACTGTACTGTGTACCGGGTAAACCGTGCTGTGCACATGGTAAACTGTATGGTGTACATGATAAACTGTACATTGTGCATGGTAACGTGCACATTGTGCATGGTAACCTGCACTGTATGCATGGTGAACTTTACAGTGTACATGAAACTGTACAGTGTACATAAAACTGTACAGTGTACATGAAACTGTACATTGTACATGAAACTGTACAGCGTACGTGAAACTGCACAGTGTACATGAAACTGTACAGCGTACATGAAACTGTACAGTGTACATGAAACTGTAAAATATACAGAATAAACTGGACATTGTACATGGTAAACTTCACAGTGTGCATGAAACTGCACAGTATACATGATAAACTGGATATTGAACATGGTAAACTGCACAATGTAATTGTACAGTTGTACACGGTAAATTATAAAATTTACATGTTAAATTATAAAATGTACATAGTAACTTGTATAGTGTATCTGGTAAATATAAAGTATACAGACGAGTATTTAAATGTAAAAAATAATAAAAAATTATTCTATGATTCTTCAGATTAGTTTTGAAGTTTAAAAGTTAGCATTAACTACAGGGAACCCGCATCCTATTTTATTAATATTTTAGTAGGTCTCAAACTATCCCCCCCCGCCCCCTCTCCTCCTTTTAAAATCAGAAAACTGGTTTACAGAACTTTTTAAATTACAATTTAACCTTGGTCCTACTTTCATAAGATTTATTTCAGAAGTAATTTGTCTAAAACAATTATTATCTAATCATTAATTTTTATTCTGCTTCGTATATTATAATTCTTAATTTCAACATTACTCAGGAGTCATATTTACAAGACAAGTTATTTTTTAGTCGTAGAATTGTAGAAAATGAATACATTTTTGTATACAAGCCTTTAATGTAAATTTGTCACCCCCCCTGATCATAAAAAATCCTCGCGGGGGAGGGGGGATAATTCTAAAATTGATATACATTAAGGAGAACTGAAGGTAGGATAATTGTTTAACAGATAAAAGCTCAAAATCTTGAATATTTTTAAGAAAATAGGCAGTTGCCTCAGGAAGTTACGTGCACTTGCCGCGTAGAAGTACAAGAAGAGAGAGATTAGTATATATGTTAGGGTTAGGCTTGGATAAGACACTTTCTGGGTCAGGGGTTGTGGCTAGGACAGGCTAGGGGACCGAGCGCCCCGGCTAGGACTGGCTAGGGGGCCGAGCGCCCCGGCTAGGACAGGCTAGGGGGAAGAGCGCCGCGAATAGAACATCTCGTAATTCAACGCAGCATCAGCACGTAACGTCCTTGCCAAGAAAATATACCGTCAAATCAGGAGTTCTAACAAGAAAAATGTAGTTAAAACGTCTAAATTGTAAAAATAAAATTAAAACATTAATTAATCCAACTCCAAAAACAATGATTTAAAACACTTTCAAATATCTTATATTTGTAATTACATTCCATGAATGAGAATTTTCCAAGAAACGAGGCAATTAGAAACCTTCTCCTCTAATCTTAAACCAAAGTAGCAGAGCGGAACTCAAACATATCATTTTAATGGTTTGATTTTCTATTTTAAAATGTAAGCCCTTTTTCTGAAGTTAATGCGGCTCCTTAAATTAGGATGGAAGAGAAAAATGGGACACCCCTCCCCCTCTCCCTATCTCTCTCATTCATGGAGAACGTCCTTGAACTGAAAAAAACGTACATTCTTAGGTCCTCATTCCAAGTCGGGTTGAGAGTCTCTTTGATGGTCTTCGTCTTCCTCTTCACCCCGTCCCCATTATCAGGGGTTAGCTTGATCTTCACGTATGGGTCACTGATCAACAGCACCGCCGGTCAGATTTATCAGGTGCAGAATGGTTTCAGAGGGAGGGGAGACAACGGTATCAAAGTGTGGGGAGACAGTGGTTTTAGAATGAGGGAACAAACAGTGGTTAAGAATGAGGGGATAAACAGTGGTTTAGAATGAGGGGATAAACAGTGGTTTAGAATGAGGGGAGTGGTTTAGAATGAGGGGCTAAACAGTGGTTTAAGGATGATTGGAATAAAGTGGTTTCATGGTGCGGGGATGTACAGTGGTTACAGAGGGATAGGATACTGGTTTTTCCGTTACGTCTCAAAGCTAAAGTTGGATTGGGGGAAAATGTTCTGATGGTATTTTCCCCCAATTTCTCAAAAATTAAGTTTGCTCCCTGGCCCTTGAAGAAGATAAAGGAGCAATTTTTATCTTTTAATTGTTAAAATTTCTAAGAATTTTTTATTAGTTCACTAATAATATAATTTTCTTCTTTCAAGCCCTCTTTTGTTCAGAAACTGAATGAATTCTTTATAAAAGTCTTATATATATAACCGTATTCAAAACTCTGGTTTAATATTGAAAATCTATATGATTTAAAGATATCTTGAATGATAAATCTATATCCGATTTAATAAAACTTTTAGCAAGGAATTGACAACTTATTTTTATGCTAAAAGGGAGTGTACGGCTAGACATAGTAGTTCAGCTGAGAGTGCATTATTGTAGAGACATTTTAGGACACTCCCTTAAAAGGAATCAAAGTCAGGATTTTGTCATTAGACCGTAGGCGTTCAAGACAATTGAAATATGATCCATTTTTTAAAGATATAGGTTTAAAGATATTATTGTAATTCGTAAAAAAACGTCACTCATTTGACCTTGATAAGCATTCACGAACGAGAAAGCGAAACCATAAAAGTTTAAGATTATAGATACTAAATGGATTAAATACATGAGTTAGTTTCCCTTGACCAAATTTTTAATCTATATAATAATAATATAAGCGCTATAGCTTGCCAAACGGCTGGAACAAATTGGCTGAATTTTTTTAGAGAACCCATGGGTACATGGGTACATGGCTTCAAAAATTCGATATTTTTTTTCAAGATGGATTTTTTTCCCTACATCTTGCGGTTTCTTTACAGAAAATTTAACATTTAGCAGAAATGATTGTTATTTGTTTGAAGAAAGTCTTAAACCAATTCCTGACCAACACTTGAAACAAAAAGTTGATGGGGGGGGGGGGAATAGCTTAGTGCATGAAATATGAAATTTTAAAATTGAATATTAGCGGGATATATAGCTTTCTAGGAAGGATGCTTGTGATTTTCTATAGCAAAGTGGTTGTTAAAAAGTTAATGGCTCTTAGAGGGACTGACGACTGTAAGTGTATTTCAAGTGACTCTCCTTACAAAGAGGGGAATACCCGATTAACAACGGTAAACTTAAAACCTTTGTTTGTGTGTGTAAAGTTACCTAAACGCTTCGGCTTGTGTATGTACACTGTACAGTCTCAACTCAATACAGCACAGCGCCCACCGACATTTTAACCTGACAACAAACGTGTAAGTAACTTTACACACGCATATCTCTGAGCACGGCGAAAACTAAAAGGTTTTAAGGATACCAACGTAAATCAGGCTAACTTTAAAAAAGCCTTAAAGCGGTGCATTCCTAAGTCCATTAGGATCCATGGGGATGAGGTTACATGCTTCCACTACTGTGCAGGTCAACTTGTTTCCTAAAATTAGGAAATATTCGGAGGTTTCTTCGCGTAACACTGACTCACACAGGTCTGTCGCTTTAGTAAATGTAAGCAATCTTGTAGAATAAAGTTTTCCATATAAATTCAAAATCAATGTTTCTAAATAGAGTTCTCTTATAATACAGGGTGTCCCAAAAAACATGGGATTTCAGTGACAAATTGGATATCGTCTTTATTATGAATAAGCATTGTAATACCTAATTTCAAAACCCAAAATATGATTATGTCTGCTAGAGTTTATTTTATGAAAAAGATAAACGACTGCAAAGATGTGTCTATAATGTCTTCGCAAGATGAACAGTGAGGACGGATAAGTTTACTCTGTTTATATACTGCAATTTTCTTGTTTTACTAAGTCAACCGTAAACAGTCAAAACATAAACAAACAAAATGTGAACATAGCAGACGAAACTCTTACAGATTACAGCTTTCTCAGAAGGTATCACTATACTAAATCAAAGAATTATTTAAAAAGACTATATCGAATTCGTCACTTAATATGTCCTGCTTCGAAAATTTTAAAATCGATTTCAGGTTGGAACAGTGGCTCAGAAAAAAGATAAATGTAAAATTTAAAAATGATCTTTTTGCCTGCAAATCTGATTCACTTATTTTAGAAATAATTCATTTTATGATTATAGACCTGCACAGCTGATTTCTAACCTGCATAGCTGATTTTCACCTGCGCAGCTGATTACTTACCTGTATAACTGATTTTTTTACCTGCACAGCTGATGTTAAGACGGATTCTTCCACGTCGTTCTGTATGATCACATCCACAAAGATTAGGTACGCTCTCAGTACACTTCTTGTGCACGTTCATATCACATGCTAAACACATAACAGCTGAACAAGAGAAGAGAAAAGACGGGACCAGGTTTGAAGATAACGAACAGTAGCTGAACAGCGCAGATCAAGGTTGCATTATAAGGTTGCTTACTCTCAATGCGCTCCAATGTACGGTAAATGGTCTCCTAGGCCCATAGAGAGATAAAATCCTGATTATACATGTGAGAGTGACGTCATATTCGGATTCTATCTATCTATGCCAAGGAGACGACATTTCCCTTACTTTGGAGCATATTGAGAGAAGGCAATTTTAGTATAAAACCTTGGCGCAGAAGCAGTTCAACCACTTCTCACTCTGTGCCGGTTCAAGCTGAAGAGAAGTAGTTGAACTACGTCTTCGTGGTCAAACCATTTCTCGCTATTCATTAGTCTGGAATTGTTATTAAGAGTATTCGATAAAAATTGAAAGAAACCATTGATTTCTACATTTTTGTTATTAACTCAAATTTAATAGAGCAATTTGCAGGAATCCATTACTCCGCAATATCAATTTTCAATATATCATTTTTCAGTTTTTGTCAGCCTAACCACTTTTATTTCTATCAGCACTATAGCTAATACTGTTGTCAGCATAACTACTAATAATGGTGTCGGAAAAGTAGCTACCTATAGTAAACTGTTTTCAGTTAGTAGCTATTATTGCTGTCAGTATGATAGCTAATATAGTTGTCAGTAAAATAGCTAAAATTGCTGTCAGTAAAATAGGTTATATTGCTGTTTGTATGATAGCTAATATAGTTGTCAGTAAAATAGGTTATATTGCTGTCAGTTTGATAGCTAATATTGCTGTCAGTATGATAGCTAATATAGTTGAAAGTAAAATAGCTAAAATTGCTTTCAGTAAAATAGGTTATATTGCTGTCAGTATGATAGCTAATATTGCTGTCAGTATGATAGCTAATATAGTTGTCAGTAAAATAGGTTATATTGCTATCAGTATGATAGCGAATATTGCTTTCTGTAAAATAGCTAATATTGCTTTCAGTAAAATAGCTAATAATGCTGTCAGTAAAATAGTTAATATTGCTGTCAGTTTGATAGCTAATATTGCTGTCAGTAAAATAGCTAATATTGTGGTCAGTAAAATAGCTAATATTGCTGTCAGTAAAATAGCTAATACTGCTGACAATAAAATAGCTATTATTGTTGTTAGTATGATAGCTAATATTGTTCTCAGTATGATAGCTTATATTGCTGTCAGTAGAATGGCTAATATTGCTGTCAGTTTGATAGCTAATATTGCTGTCAGTATGACAGCTAATATTGTTGAAAGTAAAATAGCTAAATTTGCTGTCAGTAAAATAGGTTATATTTCTGTCAGTATGATAGCTAATATTGCTGTCAGTATGATAGCTAATATAGTTGTCAGTAAAATAGGTTATATTGCTGTCAGTATGATAGCTAATATTGCTTTCTGTAAAATAGCTAATATTGCTTTCAGTAAAATAGCTAATATTGATGTCAGTAAAATAGCTAATATTGCTGTCAGTAAAATAGCTAATATTGGTGTCAATAAAATAGCTATTATTGTTGTTAGTATGATAGCTTATATTGTTGTCAGTATGATAGCTGATATTGTTGTCAGTATAATAGCTTATATTGTTTTACTAAAAAACTAACTTTCCCATAAAATGCATGAAACCCCCCGTATAAAGGATTATGTTTTAATGAAACCTGCTTTATATTTAACTAGAAAGGATCAAAGTATAAAATATAAAATATTGAACCGTCAAAATTTAATAAAAATAAAGTAGATATTAGGATATTAATCTCCGTTAGTTAAAAAACGTAATTTTATAAAAAAAAATAGGACAATCCTAAAATTATATTTTTAGTGAAGGAAAAATGAAGGCGATGAATGAACATTAAAATTTTTAACATGTTCATAACTTTTCAAATATGCAAATACAGAATATATACAGGAGATGAAAGTTTTAATTCTTTTTTATTTTAGTTTACTGTAATGTAAAACACAGGCCAGGCTAATCCAAAATTATTTTATGGGGTCTGGGGAAAATAGTTTTATTTTAAATTATCATTTCAAACAAATGTTTTATGTTCATTAGACTATTTGAAATCATATTTTGATTTAAAAGTCATCTTCCTACTTCTTAGTTGCATTGGGGATCCCACTATTGTAGCAAGTTTGACTATTAAAATATTCTACGTTCTCAACCATGAATATATACAAATAGTATTTTCCCAAACGTGTGCTATGTTTATGAAACATGACTGATTTTTGAGAAAATGACAGGAGATATGAATATGGAATACAAATATATATAAATATGAAGATATATCATAATATTCTATCTACTTACTACATTACAATGGTACCACAATGGTCCGAAGAAATCCTTAAGTTGGAATCAATCTATCTGATTAGGTTGTCATTGAACTATTTAATGAAGATGTGATTATATATATAATGTGGCTGTCATTGACCTTTCTAATTAGGTTGTGATCATCCTATCTAATTAGGTTGTGATCTACCTATCCAATAAGGTTGTTCTCAACCTATCTAATTAGGTTGCGATCAACATATCTAATTAGGTGGTGATCAACCTATCTAATTAGGTTGTGGATTTGGGATGGGCACGTTCCAACTTTTTCTAGCCGTACCGTTACGGGTTAGTTCCCGTAGTTAAAAAAGTAAAATTTCAAGTAGCCATAGTTAAGAACAGAATGTCCATGTGTTAACGGCATTTACAGTATTTTTTTAATTACAGTTAGTTAAGGTTTTATATTTCGTTAATGGTGTTAACGTAAAATTTTCAACAACCGATAATGGCACCATTCATTAACAATTTTGGAAATGGAGCTATTAATGGTCCTTAACAATATTAACAATTATGAAATCTTAAACGATGCTAAGCACCAAAAAATTTTTTAACAGCTAGTAACAATCCTTTACAATATTAACATTTTATGAAATCGTTAACAGACCAAAGAGCCAAAAAAAATTGGTTAACGGTTTAGAAATCGTTAACAAATAAGAAATTGTTTGAAAACAGCTAATCCGTTCCGTTAACATTTTGTAAATTAACAGTTTTTGCCATTCCTTAACAAACACTTTAGTTAATTTTCGAAAACCTCTGTTCCATTAACAGAACTTGGCCCAACCCTGTTGGGATCACCCTATCTAAGTCCTTGTATTTGCTAATATTCTGTTAAGGTTTCCTCTTCCGGATAAATTTGGTTCTAAACTGTTAAAATTATAAACCATTAAAAACTCCTCTAAATTTAGGGCGGAATCTTTCTACTCAGAATGTAGAATAAGTTTTAAACTTCTGTTTTTATATGTTTAAAGCCCTCTCACAATCAAAGATATACATATAAAAAGGAAGTCCAAAAACGTTCTTTATTAAGCTAGTCCACACACCAGTATGAATATGTCTGGCCTTTCTTGCCTAACTACAGATGCTATGATCAATCAACTGCATCTAAATTACTCATTCTAAAATTACAAGTAGTGACTAGGATCCTTTTAATTTGTATGAGAATCCGGATCTGGATCCTAGATTCGCCCTGAAAATTTCAAGTCTCTCTTTTTTTTAACCGTTTAGATTCGGGTTTAGAGAGCAATTGCAGTTTTTGGTTGATATTTTTATTTTGGGTCCATGGATATTTTTGTATATCCAGATCCGGATCCAGGAAGCCAAACCAATGCCAATCCAATGAATCTGGATCCAAGGCCCTGATTATGAGTTATGAAATACTTCTGGACCACCTAAATACTATACTCTATATACTTCTATAATCCTATACTCCATACCTTCACATTTATTTCCTTGGTTCGACAAACCGTAGAGAATAGAACCACAGTGGTCACAAAATGTTCCCCCTGGGTTATAGGTGTGCACCTTCCACTTATGCAAGTAAGGACCCTTGGAAATACATCTCTTGAATAATCCCGTCCAAATTCTATTGTGACATAGTGTCCAAACAAAAGGCTCCATTATTGACAAAGCTTCTGTTCAAGAAATTTTTACCACTGTTCTTGAAGATTGAACCTAGGGGTCGTATAAGGGCACCATGGGGGTTGAAGTGAGCTAGGGAAGGGGGCATTGTTAATGTATTAATTAGTAAACAAATGGGGTGTTGTGTATGTATTAATTAGTATACAAACTAGTTTATAACAAATAAGTATTAAATCACTAAGCTTCTTCTAAAACACTACGTTAAACACTACCTGATTTAATTCCTCATATAAACATTTATCAGGAATAACCAAAACATTACAATAAAATGTTTTACCACCTTTTTATCAACATAACCGACCTCTGATTCCCCCATTTGAGGAACGTTAAGTTACTTTACGGCCCTCAGGACAATTTAGTAAAATAACGACCTGCTCTACAAAGTTTGTGAAAAAATTCACACATTTTCATTTCAAAAGATGATAAATTTGTGTATAACTCTTTTTTCATGAAATTAAAATTTTTACTTAAACCTCAAGCAATTTTGACTGCAAAATTAATTGTAATCAGGAATGAACAAAACATGATTATAAAATGTTTAAGCAGGAACAATCATAAAACTCTTGTGTTGCTTTTTCCTAATACCAAAATCATAATTTCCGACCACGGAATAATATTTATTTTCAATTTTCTTATATTATATTATGTTTCTAGAAAGGAGAAATATAATACTTCTAGAGACCCAGCAAGAACATATTATTATGTTCAAAATTTATTTTTATTTTGTTAAACATTCAAGGAAACTCGTAAATAAAGTTATTCGTTTTCTACAGGAATACAAAATTCCAACCCATTTAAAGTGATTGTAATGTAATTTCAAGAGACATTTTTGAGTGGTATGTTTGGTTCTTTTCTGATCAAGGATGAATGAGGTATTTTTATTTTTTGTTCTGAAAATTGTTATATTTTAAATTAAGTCTCTATCTAAAAATAATTGAGAATTTGTTCTACAGATTCAGATAATGAGGGATAGTCTAATAATTTTCCAAATGTTTTTGAACAAAATAAAAAAATATATAAATATAAAAAATCTTTGTTATAAAGCAGACATTACACTCTTAAAATGGAAGGGACACTTGATATAATGTCTAGAGTCCCTTTAACCCTCTGTCCAAATTTTCTGAAAAAAATACCTTCACACTGGAGCCCCTGATGTATGAGTCCATACAGTAAGGAGCCACAATGGTCACAGAATGCCGGGCTAGCATAGGTATGAACACGAAACCGATGTTTGGTTCGATTATCCTAAAATACAATTAAAATACGGGTTATACAACTACAGAATAGAAGATACAAAATACAGGAAATACAATTACAGAATACAAAATATATAATAGACTTGACAGAACATACAAAACTTTGTTACATAGAAGCATGACATATGTATGATTCACAAAAGGTAAATGAACTGAACATTTGCCACAATGATGATGGTCTGCACCGATGATATTTTAAACTTACACTATAAGATCTATTATAATTCATAGTTTGACATATCAAAGTTATATGACATTAGGTTGCATAGATATAGGATTGGAAAATTAGAGACAAGCATTCAGTTTCTTTACTCAAATGCTAGGATGAAAAATCAGGGGTGTATATCTTTAAGAATTACGAATGATTTTTGAAGAGCTAGGGAAAACTGAAAATATTGGAAATGAAAAAGCAAGTTTTTCATCCTTTTATCATACTTTTAACCTAATAATTTTGAATTTTCCCAAAAAAATCATTTATTTTCTCCAATTTTATGAAAAAAAACCTTAACTCCTGGGGTGACAAAATTATTTCAAAGTGTGGGGGGATATTTTTTCAGAAAATATACATCCCTGTGAAGAATATTTTGTATGTTCTGTTTGGTCACAAGTTTTATTTACATAACAATTATTTGTTCTGCTCACAAGATTTACAATTATTTTTGGCAAAAATTAATTTACAAGTAACATAAAATGTATCACTTAATGTTTAAAAATTGTGAACAGTCCCAATTAACAAAGCAAAAGTAAACAACTATGCTGACTAAATACTATTTAAAGTGAATTCTCGATTGTCCCATGAAAGAGAATTTTAAAATTAATTTTTGTTAAATTTTACTTGATATATTTATGAGAAAATTCAGATATTTGCAAAGCATTGTGTTATAAAATCAAGATTTAACATTTAATTGAAAAACAATTAAAAAAAATTTAGATTTGATTACTGATAAAAAAGTTTGGGAATTTATTAACGAAATCTGTGGCTGGAGTAGCTATGTCGGGTTCAACAATCAACTTAAACCAGTGTTAAAAAAGTGGTTGACCTCACTAGTGCAATTATTCATAAATTCTGAACACAGCTCAAAGATAAAAAGATAAAGTTTCATGTGAAGTATCAAGTTTTCAGTAATTGGTTGGTTTTTCTTTCTTTAGGATATATTATCTAGGCATATTGATATCAAGATAAACAAACCAATTAATATAAATTAGAAAGAAAAAAACTACACCTCCAGTCATTAGGATAATTTTCATTTACTTTATTTCCCTTTTTAATTAAACAAAAAGCAAATAAATACCCCTCAGAGACTGTATGCTATAATTAATAATGTTTAGATGAGGAAAGTATTAAAGTCAAGGAAAATGGTATTTAATTAATTTCATTTAAATTGCCATAAAACACTACTTTAACATCAAGTTAGGACAATAAAAATGTAGAGTAGGAAGACGACTAAATAGACTCAAATTAGGACTTTGAATAGTCCAATAAACATTAAACACCTTAATTGTGCTATACAACAGACACAATTCACTTAAAGGGAATGTAAAGGAAAAATCAAAGGGGGTATAGGCTGAAAGTTCTATTTGATGTTCCTGTCTCAAGCAATTGATATAAAACTGTGATAAAGTTCAAAATTTATACAATTTGTGTAGAAATAGTAGGTTTGAACAGATCATATTCAGCAAATAGGCAACCAATCTAAAAACAACAATTTCCCAAAAAACCTAATTGTAACTCCAATTAATAAAGGTCTTCTCCAATTATTATTTTGTAATTTTTATTTTTATTTTTAATAGATATAATTGATAATATTATTTATAAGCAGAAGCGGACTTATAAATAAAACTATCAATTATATCTAATAAAAAAAAAATTATAAAATATTAATTGGAGAAAAGCTAAGTTACAAATAGGTTTCTCTGGGTTATCTTGGTTTTCAGATTGGTTGCATATTAGCTGAATATGATCTGTTTAAACCTACTATTTCTTTACAAAATTGGATATATATGAATTTTGTATAAATTTTTTATTCTTCAAGAGAGGAACATCAAATAAAACTTTCATGGGTCGCGATCAAGAGTTGGTATGATTAGCTTTCCGCCTTTACCCCTTACACATATATCCTTTACAGTCTCATTAAGTTAATATTTAAACCCATATGTTTTATAACAACATATTATTGCATATTATTCTACATTTTTATGGTTCCCAGTGAAGCAGAAAGATTTCTAAAACTATAATGTTAAAAATCATATTAAAGTATTTTAAATATATTTATTTTACTTAGATTTGCCATTAATTCCTGAGTTTTTCTACAATAAGAAAGTTATGAACTTTTAAAAACGTTTTAAATACATAGTTTAATATTCACAAATACACCCCCCCCCCCCCCCCAAAAAAAAAAAAAAAGGCTTTTGTGGCCCGGGGGGGGGGGGGGGGGGGTGAGAACTTAACTTAAATTGATCCTCAAATTTAGAAGAGTCTACATTGAATATCAAGATCAAGAACTCAAGATTAACGATACTCCACAAAAGTTCTGAACTAGAGTCATTTAATTCATTTAAATTCATATAAAAAAGACAAACGTCAAAAATCTAAAAGATACCACTAACGCTATTCTTTTAACAAGTCAAAGCGAGTAATTTCATGGTTTCTATAACAAGGAAAACGTTCAACAATGACCATACTAACAACAATTTGTGTGAGAGAAAGATGTAATTAACAGATTTACAAGAATAAGTAAAAGGGTGGGAGGGGGGTAGGGGGTAATTTTTACACCTTTCTCTTTAACGAACAAACAAAGTTTAACATGTAACAGTGAAGACCTGTGTATTGCCATGCAACTGACGCTGAAAAGTTGAGAAAAATTTAGTAAAAAATAGAATTTTTTTCTAAAAGTTCTTTAAAAAAATTATTATTTTCAAGTGTCTATACTGCATATATGTACAATTGTACAATGTACATTACTGACAGTGAGTGTCTATATACAGGGTGCGAATCAGATCCCCGGAGAATTAAGTTAATCATTCAAAAGTTATAATCTCCGATTATTACTTTTAAATCAAACTTAAAACAAAAATAAAATTTGGGCAAAAATGCCAAAACAGGTTTTTAAAAATTATTAAAAGATCTGATTCTTATATTCAAACTAAAAATAATCTACGTGTGCTTGTTTCAAGGGGCTGGGAGGGGAATTAGAATTGTTATTTTAAATGCAGCAAAATATTATATTTTCTGAAAAAGGACCAAAAATCTATTTTATTTTGTGCATTTTGAATTATTGCTAAATGCAAAAAATATATGTGTGAAAAATCAAAGGATTATGTGTGTGAAAAATACCCGGGTTCTTTTTTAAACAGGGTTCCAGGGGTAAGCTGTTACCTTTTTCTTCAATATTTTAGAAACAATAAAATTATATTTGATGTATGAAAATTAATTGTAGAATATATATATGCATAACACATGAATGCAAAGAGATATTAGAAGAAAGAGAGAGAAGAAATAAATCATGATAAAAAAAATTACGGCATTCTAGTAATTAACTCATTAGTTCTAGATCGTTCTAGATAGTTCTAGATCGTTCTAGATCGTACTAGATCGTTCTAGATAGTTCATTAAAAAAAATATAAAAACTTCCAAGATTTCAAAACTGTGATTTATTAAATTTTGCTTTTATTAAACTTTGCAATATCTTTATCTATAAAAAAAGGAAAAACGATCCGAAGACAATAATTTCAACGTGTTGGTTTCTGCATCCTTTATTAATGGTTTAAGGGTTGATTTTAGAATATATCTTCTGTCAGGGTTAAATTTGATATAGTGTAAGAAGAGAAAATGTTAAGAATACTAATTTTCTCTTCTTCCACTATGTCAAATGTTGACCCTGCCCTGAGAGTAAATATAGGCCAACAACGACCCTAAAAACCAACCAACTAAAGGCACATCACAATATGTCAATAGTTCCCGAGCTGTCCCACTTCATTCTTGAAATTCTTGTAAAATTTAACGACAATATTCAAATAGAAGGTTTAAATTAAAAATTAAGTTGATATCCTTTAACAGGCAGAACTATCTCCCTTGAGTAAACTGTTCTAAGAATACATACTAAGATGAAAGTAAATTCTAACTTGAAAAGTTATTTCTGTAACTTTGTCCAAAGCATGTAATCCAAATTGAAGAATTCTTAAAACGTTCAAACTTTGAAGAAAATATTTGAATGTTGTAATCACAGAGCAATGAACTAGAACCCCAGTCTTGAATGGGCAAATGGATAAATATCAGAAAATAAGAAAAAAAATAAGAATAAAAATCTTACATCAGAGTCCGCACCGCGATCGATTCCAGGGCATACAAACGTAACAAATTCATGGCACCGCTTGTGCACCACAAAACTACAAACTGAAAAATATAAAGTTAATCTCAGATCCATATTTTAAACAATGAACAGAGCTGAAAACTTTAGATGGTGGATATCAATATTAATGCTTAAACTCCTGGTTTTACTAAACCAAAGATTATTTAAAAACGCATTCGATATCCAAGAAAAAAGTTAAAAATTTAACCAATCAGCGTGTTATGTTAAGATGTAAAACCGGTTTTGATTTCTGGTGTTGAGTTGATGGTGTCATATCAATCGAACTAAACATCGATTAAACGTACGTTGATAAACATTGGATTAATGTTTATCAAGACTAACGTTCAAAATGACAATAGCCCTAGAATATGTTTTTTAATAATTTTATATTAACATGATTAAATTTATATTTGCTTCAATGCTCTAAAAGTCGGCTTGTGAACAGCTGACTTTAATTCAATCGGATATTAGTTCAATCGATATAGCATTGTATCTGTAATCTCAGATTTCGTCGTAGTTTAATTTATCCTAAACGGGTAGTGCATAAAACGGTGCAATTATCGACGCTTTCTTTTTTATTTTTGACCTCTAAACATTCTTTAACAAATATATTTGTCAGAACAATTGCAAACAAAAAAATCTCTATGAGATGTTTTATCATAAGAAAGACAATGTCAATATCTCCACTATTTCTGGTAGATATAAACCCATCAAAAATGTTGAAAAAAAATAATCTAGATAAAAATATAAAAAAATAATGTGAAACAAATTAATCATGATAAAGTATAAAAATAATGTGATAAGAAAATATTCATGATAAAATATTAATGTGAAAAAATAATGATAAAATATTTAAATAATATGATAAAAAAGAATGATAAAATATAAAATTATTTATACCTTGACACTGAAATCCTTGTTTGCCGAACCCCCTGAAAAAAAAAATAATAGAACATTATCAACATGATGGAGCAGTCGCAAAAAATACATAATAATGAATATTTACGCCAATTAAAACCCAATTTTACCAGCATTTTGGGGGTCCAACTCTTTTCTTACAGAACAATTGTAGAAAAATGTAAACATGGCAAACTAAAAAATGATTTAACCAATTTCATCCTATTTCAATTTTCCTTGTAACTCCATGTATTAGAGTTCTATCACAGATTTATCACAAATTATTACAGATTTAACACAGTCAGCTTTTCAGACATTGATTTCACAATTCAGCAATACAGATACAGAAATAAGATAAATTATTTAAATATTTTATTGTAATAACTTAAATTTTTTTTTTACAAATTGAGTGTGCGAATGATAATGAACGTTGTATTTATGTAAAAAGAAACGGATTAAAAACAGATTTCTTTTTCAGACCTAATATATATTAAGTAAATAAAAGATCAGAAAGGGATAAATAGCTAAAAAAAACATACCTTCAGTTTGAATTAACTAACTTAATTCAATAACCTATCTTAAATTCTGTAAAAAAGGAAAAACAATCAGAATAATTGAGTTATTTAGGTTTTTAATCTACAATACACATGTGTAAAAACACATCTTGTTCCAATACAATGTTTAAGTTAATCGCCTCCAATTAGAAATGTTCAATTATAGATTTCAACGAAATTCTTGTCGTTAATAAGTTATTTGTAAACGAGAGAATATAATTATTATAAATAGTCAACAGCTTGGAGAATAAAAACATGTAAAGAAACCTAGTAGGGCCAAATTAGGTGTTCGACTTATATTGGATATCGTAGATATCGTCCTCCATAGAAAGAGGAAATGCGGAAAAAAGAAAATAGAAATGATAAAATCTTCAATTTATGATAATCGATTAAAGTGGACTGAGACTTAGTTTCAACTGACCCTCCATTAAAAAAAAGGTATGTCCGATTCACAATCCGTAAACTTTTATCCGAGTAACAATGAGGAGGTTTTGTAGATTTTCTATCCCTTTCACGAAGCAACCAAAATGAAAATAATCAATTTTTATCTGAAAAAAGAGTGATATCTCATGGATCCTTGTTATGACAAACGTGTAAAGCGAACTATTGTGAATCAGACATACGATTTTTCATGATTTTTTCCCTCTTGTCTCGTTAATCCTTGATAAATAACTTTTAACTGCATATATTTACGTTTAATAAAAACTATTCCTTTACTTTAATATAGTTTCCTTGCCAATATTATGCATGTTAAGGTGTAGTGTAGAACGACGGAGGGATAAACTGGCAATAAAATATACATTTATTACAGTTACCAGATAAAATATATATTTATAATTATCCTGATCGGATAATTAATCTGGAGATTAAAAATGAGTGGAGAACAAGCAATATTTAATCTGCAGATTAAGAAAAAGAGTGGATTAAGCCTTAATCCCGATATCCACCATTCTAAAGTTTTCAGCTCAGATAAAATATATATTTATTACAGTTACCAGATAAAATATGTATTTATTACAGTTACCAGAAAAAATATATATTTATTACAGTTACCAGATAAAATATATATTTATTACAGTTACCAGATAAAATATATATTTATTACAGTTACCAGATAAAATATATATTTATTACTGTTACCAGATAAAATCTTTACAGTGTCCACAGAATACAGGTTGTCTGAAGAATCTCTTCATAAACTACAGAACTTCTTGAAAACAGGGTGGTGGAGATAAAACTCCTAGATAACAGGGTGGTGGAGATAAAACTCCTAGATACCAGGGTTGTGAAGATAAAACTCCTAGATACCAGGGTTGTGAAGATAAAACTCCTAGATAACAGGGTTGTGAAGATAAAACTCCTAGATAACAGGGTTGTGAAGATAAAACTCCTAGATAACAGGGTTGTAGAGAAAAATCTCCTTGAAAACAGGGTGGTTGAGATAATATCCTTGATAACAGGGTGGTGAAGATAAATCTCCTTGATAACAGGGTTGTGGAGATAAATCTCCTTGAAAACAGGGTGGTTGAGATAATATCCTTGATAACAGGGTAGTTGAGATAATATCCTTGAAAACAGGGTGGTAAAGATAATATCCTTGATAACAGGGTAGTGGAGATAAATCTCCTTGATAACAGTTGGTGGAAATAATCTCCATGATAACAGGGTGGTGAAGATAAAAATAAAGTTTTTTGAATAATCCCAGGTTGTTACAGTCCTGGACTGTGACTTTAAGTCAAAACTTTTTAATTCTGAATCTAGGGATCAAGCCTTGATCTACATCTTGTGCTGACAAACGGTTAAATTTAATTCTTATTTGATATCTCGTTGTGGTCATACCCTGCAGGGACATCTTGGTTATAATGCATTTATCCTACAAAGGAACTAAGTTCTGACCACAAACTCGAAATTTTCTAATCTCTGAATCTTTTCAACCCGATGCTGTATACCTTTAATATTAAAACCATAAATTATGTAAAAATCAAAAAGTCTAAGTTTGAAATAACAAAGGTTTACTCCATCAGAATGCAAAGATGTATGAATTAGAAAATTTGAGTTTTTTACAAGAACTCATAACCTTTAAAGAACCGCAGCCTTTACAGGATAAATAAAAGATAGTTTAAATATTAATCCTCCTAAATATTTTGAAAGACTTAATTGTTAGGCTGATGCTTGATATTTAGTTTACCCAATAATTGTTTTGTCTAAAAGCATATTTTCGTCTCAATTATCATCCATTACAAAGAAGCAAACACATTGAAACTTGATCGTAAAAGCTGTGTGCATGATGATATAATTCATCAACTATTTTATGGCTAATTTCTGTGTTCAAATATTTTTAAAGTTATCAAATAATTCTTCTATTTTAGTTTCAATAGAAACTCTGTATTATCTAACTGAAATATTTAACTTTCCTGCAAGTTTAGAATTTAAACCATTTGTTCTCCATGAAATATCCATTATACTCCATTATTCAAAGGTTCAAATTACTCATGTAAAACTAGAGGTGTATAATTTTAAAAATTACCCCCCTCCCTCCTGGGGGAAATGATTATTGAAGTAATGGGGGGGGGGATGTCAAAAAGCATTAATAAAAATCAAATCATTTATTTTTCCAATTCAGCAAAAAAAAATTCGCTCAGCAAAAACATACTTGGGGGGGGGGGGAAGGGGATAATTTATGTAGATTTTTAGATTCCTGTCCACGACATTAAAATGTGGTTTTATCCTTGGCAATTTCAAAATTTCAAAATGGCGGACGGCCGTGCTGAAAATGTTCAAGAGCTTTAAGAGGTTCAGCTGTTTCCTTGTGATCAAATACAGTCCTATAAATCATGCACTTTCAAGGCTTCTTATAATTCAGTCTCAGCACTATTGGAAATTAGAAAGGTAGGCACCTGGCACATGTTTTGTTTTGTTTAGAATATGGTGCCGTGTAAAAAAACAAGAAAATCTATTAAATGGGGAATATATAATGCTAATAATGTCAGAACCAAAAATATCATTAATAATATTAATAAAGCAAGAATTATATTAGTAATATAAATAGAAATTTGTATTATTATATAATACTGTTTGTATTATTTCTTTAGTTTTATGATGGTCAATGACAAAAAAATGTTAATATAGTCAAGGTTGTTTAACCACCCCACAAAAAAAATAATATTTTTTAACAATTGACAGTTTCTTTCAGTTTCTGTCAAAGAGATTTATTTGCTTTTTCCTGCTGATTTTAGCAACTTTCTAGACTGACAAATTGCTAAGGGAGGGCACATAACTATTTCAATACAAATAATAATTAATGTCAGACCAAACTCAAGTAATTGAGAATACCATTGTTGATTTTACAAAGGAATAAACCACCCTCTGAACTGGGCCTATGTCCCAACTGGGGGTGGGTGGGTTGGTGGATGTCAACCTAGGGGCTCAGCTTAATCAGGTTCCTGATAATCCCAGCACCCGGCACGCTTACATCCAGGGTTCAATAATAGAACATGCCCTAAGCGGTTTTTCAAACAGACGACCCCAGGTGTGATTGTACATGTATCGTGAGGGGAAGTAATGATGGGTGTGGCTTCATACGGGGATTAAAAATCCCCCAGAAGTTCTGTTTAATAATAATAATAATCCAGGCTTTAGGTAGATTTTTTAGTCCTTTGTGACATGCCCAAGGTCTAAATGTTGGGTTAACAGACACTAATTTAATATTTGAAAGTCTAACTTGACGTATCTTTTCATGTTGGTTCTAAAAGAAAGAAAGCTTATTTCAGATATCAAGGAATGTTGCCAACAGAAAAATTAACAATAGAAATACTTTTAAAAAGAGCATATTTTTGGGCAAAATAATTTTAGGTTTATAAAGCCAAGAGGAAAAAAACTACTGTGAAAAGCTAGCTAGCATGATATTTTTTATACTTCAGTGGTCAGCATATATATCAATACAATGTCGGTTACTAAAATGATAATATAATACAATTTCAGAACCTGACAATACATTGCTATGTGTGCCAAACAATACTAATTATTTAGCATTTCAGTGCCGAATTTTGTATTGAAACATATCTCACCTTCGTCTTACATAAGGATTTCAGTAAACGACTATTGATATAAATGGTGACCACAGTATGATGAAGCCTGGTTGTGAAAGTGCATGTTCCTTATTGTTCTACGTTTAAGTGCTCCAGCCCGGGTCCAGGTATAAAGAGGTGGTGTCACAGGTACACACTATTTGTTCACCAACATTTTGATCCTTTATTTTATATTGAACAGACTAGCAATTAAAAACCTTTAAACAGTCAAGCAAAAATAAATGAAAAGAAAATTATTTTTTACGGAAACTATAAACCCAGAATCCCCTTAATCATAATTCCAATATAAAAGTCTATTGAATCCATGAAAACTTCAGAATTATTCATTTATTTTATCATTTTCAAATCTCATAAAATTGGGTCCCACAAGTTTATCTTACAAAAATTTAACACATGTTTTTTAAATTATAGTTTTTTTAATCATTTTAAATACAATATCTAAATTGAAGTATGGTTCAAATTTCATTTTAATGCCTTCTAAAGAATGGAATATTAACAGTTTCTATCCTTGCTTATCATCATAAATTAATTACCCCAAGTATCATTAAAAACTTGTTTTTTATACTGACACTGCACTTGGTAAACAAAAGCAAGTTTTTAATATTAGTATTACATGTCCAATAATGTATTTTCATCTTCATTTACCCTATCAATTTACCATGTATTACCAAATGTTTCAAACTTAGCTTTGAACCTTTCAGGGCCTGTCACGCCACTGTAAAGATTATTTTTAAAGCTGTCTTATTCATGAGCTCTGTAAAGTTTTTGGAATTGCATTTCTCTACAGAATGCCAGAAAAGAGTATATTTGCTAGCAGTAGGTGGCTTTTGCGATGAAAATAAAAGATTACATCTGGAAATATAAAGTATAGAATATTTCATCTTGTATTAGGGGATTGTGAGGTTGGCAGGAGAGGAAAAGGATACTAGACAAACCTGGATATATGCCAGGCTAAACATAACAATACACAGACTCAGGTTAAAAAGAATCAATGATGTTAAGAAAGGATAGAAACCCCCCCAAACTACCAGAAGCTGCCAACTTCTAGGAAATTAAACTGGAACAAATTCATAGAAATCCCACCCTGATAGGACTCACAAGATTTTATTGGATTTCGTGAAGAACTTAAACCACAGGTTTCAAGGCTTAAATTCCAAGCATGTCTGATCCCTAGGCTTGGAATTTAAAACATTCTTACAAACTAAAATTAAAAGTATTAAACTTAGCAAAGTTTGGACAAAGTTTCTGAAAGGGGCAAGATGAATTCTGTATTTATCGAGTCTGTAAATTATATAATTCTGTATTTATCATGTCTGTAAATTATATAATTCTGTATTTATCATGTCTGTAAATAATATAATTCTGTATTTATCGAGTCTGTAAATTAAATAATTCTGTATTTATCGAGTCTGTAAATTATATAATTAAAGGTGGAAATGTTGCACTTCTACCAAAGGCCAAAGTGGAGAATTTTCATAGGAAAATACGACTGGAGACTGCGAAAAAAAACAAGAATTTATTAAAACAACATAAAATAGAAATATTTCAGACCATAGCAAGTAAAACCTTTTTTAACAAACAAAATATGAATTGCTAGGATGTCTCCAAAAAACTATTCTGTTCTTTTTCAAAATTAGCCGAACATGATGGAAGAGGAACAAGAATGACGGGCAAAAAATATAGAAATGTCAAAATATTTTCATCTGCTATCATCTAATTATTTTCAGAAAATTGTTAAAATTAAAATTCAAAAATAAATATGTAAAAAACAAACAAAATATTATTTGAAAAATTCCTCCCAAGAAACAAATGTTTTAACTGAAAATGTTTAATATATAATATTTCTTGCATTCCCTGTGGGCCTGAGGTTAGTTGAGAGATACTGCGAGGAGAGCTGTTAACCAATTATTAATCAGCTTTAGCCATTTCATATCCATTCAGCAAATAAACAAATCAATCATTTTATCACCATTTAGTTGTCATTCAATCATCAACATTACAATAAAAACCTCTGCAAGAGAAATTTAGATCATAATCTTTTAAAAATATTTCCATCTAACATCAATAAAATTAACTTCTACATTCCCACACAAGGGTAATTTTTCCTAATTCCAGATATTAACAACTGATAATATCCTGAGTGATGAATCACTGAACTGCCGAATAAAATAGGACTGACTGAGAACACCAGAAAATGTTTAAATATTTAAATCAATTTTCTTTTCTATAATAATCAAGGGAAAAAAGTATGTAATTTCAAGTAACCCTCTCTCTTGAGACTGGCTAGACATGTTATTCAAGAATTGCAACAAAAAAAAACATTTCTTCAGCTGACTTAAACAACTCGTGAAATATTACAAAAAACTTTACGCTCTGCTCTTATTTAAAAATTTACACTGTTAAAATGTCTCATTGGTCTCAAATTAATCCAAAATTTTCTCTATAATAGTGTACTTTCAGCTCAACTACCATGACTTGCCGGTCTCTCCCTTTAAGGGGAATATCGGAATTAAAAAGATAACCTCAGTAGCTTCGTATGATTAAGAATGAATGAGATATCCATGATTTCTCATCAAGGAATTCGTAATTTTCTATTATTTTTCTCTAAAAAGTAACATGTGGATTCTTTGATACAGAAAAAATGGCGGAAATTAAAATATTTTTAAACTTTCAGCTGGAAAAAAACGACGATATCCTGCACATAATTTATCATATCATATCATAACTTGAAATTTTCCACAGTCCCTCTAAGTGTCAACAAACAATAATATAATAAGTTTTGTCAACACATTTACCTTCTAGTCTGACCTAATAACTTAACTAAACTAAACTGAATAAAACTCTAATTCTTGCTTTTCTAAGTTAAAAAATATAAATGGCAGACCAATGTTAACAGTCTTACTAATTTGAGGACTTCCTTTTTAAACTAATATTAGTATCCATAATAGATTAAAAAAAATTTACAGCTGAGATTGACAAAACATAAAAAAAACTTCCGAATTCTTTTCATAAAAATTGTTATAAAAGCACAATGAATTTGAGAAATTTATCCCAATTTTTAGGAAATATTTTATGGTACGAGATACTTACAGCGACTTAAATATAAGATCATGAAATGTAATTTTATCGACTTCAGGATCCCTAATCTCTAGTTTGAAAATTTAAGTTTAAAAAACATTAATATTTTGTTAAGTACTTATTCATGACCTTGTAATAAAAGTTTTACGAAAGATAATGCAAGAAATAACTTTCAAACTCATCAAACTTTTACAGTCTTCTCTGGAATAAAATACTTTAGATTAAAGTAATCGCCATTAAATTTTAGAATGCTATTAAAGATTCACCAATAAATGAATATTCTCAACATAAAGGTTCATTTTTGGCACTTTCCACCATTGAGGTTTATTAGAAGTTATGTTTGCAGCTCCTTCTAAGAAATCTTGAATGCCTCTTCTCATATTAAAATCTTTTAAATTTTTTTTAATCAGCGAAAAAGATGAAAATTTATCCCCTTTCAAATTTCTCAAACCGGGTGATAAAATGAGACTGTTGGCTGGGGGAGGGAGGGAGTCCAGAGTTCCTCAAATAGTAATCACCGCCACCCAAATCTGTTTTGCGGCAAGCGCGCTCCTCAATTGGTAATCTCCACCACCTCAAATAGTAATCAGCCCAAAAAAGCATAAAATTAAATCGTTTATTTCTTAGAAATAAGACCATATTGACCTCTTTTAATGGCCCTATGGTGTACAATATTGTTAAAGCTTTCTTTATTGCTCCTTAGTTTCGAAAATAAATCAATAAAAATGCCACACTAAGTGCTAGAAATATATTACGTTTTTTAGTTTCAAGTTTCGCTTTAAGAATGTTTGCGGCATTTTCCTCTGAATGTTGTTTTAAACTCCTTATATAGAGAGGAAACTTTAACCCATTATTAGTGGACTAAATACTTCATTTTCAGTAGTGGGTGTGATGAGACTAATTTTTCAAAATTTTATTTTCTTTCTATGCATATAATGAGTTTTGTTGTAGATGTTGAACTCGAGTTGGCGAATACAAAAATCTAAACACTGTAAAGGTTTTTTGAAAATATCTTTTAAATGGAGATTGATATTACTTTGGGCGCAATGAGATAATTTTTAGTAAATTTTAAGTCCTTTCTATGCATATAATTAGTTTTGTTGTAGATGTTGAACTCGAGTTGGCGAATACAAAAATCTAAACACTGTAAAGGTTTTTTGAAAATATCTTTTAAATGGAGATTGATATTACTTTGGGCGCGATGAGATAATTTTTAGTACACAGGCAGCCCGACCTTTTTTGTATCTTGACGCCTATCATGAAATGTAGTCATTAAAGTGGCGAATTGGATCTAAGATTCGGCTAAAATGAACTGTGCCTTGATTCTCAGTTTTTGTTGACCAAACAAATCTGAAAATAATTTGAAAATTTAGTTTAAGTCAATACAGATGCCATAAAACCCCAAAAGATGTCGAAAATTGTGTTAAAAGTGCATTAAATTCAAATCACAGAAAACAAAATTTTACCGTGATTACTAATTGAGGTGGTGGAGATTACCAATTGAGGAGCGCGCTTGCCGCAAAACAGATTTGGGTGGCGGTGATTACTATTTGAGGAACTCTGGACTCCCTCCCTCGCTGGGGGAACAGATGTGGGAGATAGAAACATAAAAAATGTCAACTCTGTGGTTTGTTAATTGAACAAAGATGGTGGTGGGTGTCAACACAAATATTTGAATGTATAATGTGTGAAATATATTGTAGTGCTCTCTGTATAGTATTGTAAACCCAACCCAAGTATTTAAGCTAATCATGCTGCCAATTCATTTAAAACTAAGTTCAAATGAATAATGGGTTTTAAGTAAAAGTTGAAAACGTAGATAGTTAATAATGTACAACATACTTTAGGTTAACAAAATATCATGTTTATCCTATATTTATTACACGTCATCTCACACTTATTCTCATTTTTAGGAAGCACTCTCTTTAAATGAGTATTACTGAATGCAATTCTGACGAAGAGGTTTCCCAGAATTCTGATTTAGAAAAGTATCCCTTTAAGCAACCTTATACTTGGTTAATTTTACTGATGGACTTTTTACATTCAATCATAAACCTTACAATTTACGTTGGTTTACAGTTTTCCAGCTTTTATTCGAGCTACCCCCCCCCCCTTTCATCTCCAATATCATTCCAAACCCAACCAGTTAGATTCCCCCCATCTTCAATAACATTTACCATCCTATTCCCAACCACTTTAATTCCATCTTCATTATCATTCCCAACACTTTTTTGTTGTTGAACATTTCAGTAAGTGGGGGAAGGCACACCACACCATTTTTTCGTCCGCACCACAAATGACGTCACAATATACCATTATATCTTCCGACCACACCGTTTTTCATCCGGGGGTTGCTTGTGTTTTCAGATATATATGTTTATGTCCTATAACACTTTTTTCAAATTTAGGCAACGTCATCTTGTTAAATATGATTTGATTTTGCTTAAAATGCATTCAGTTTGAAAAATAAGACGACGTTTAAAAATTTTTAGCACAAAACGGAATATTCCTGTTTTTTGTCCGGACCACACCTAATTTTCGTCCGGACCACACATATTTTTCGTCCGGACCACACATATTTTTCGTCTGGAACCACACACTTTTCTGTTATTTTCTTATTTTACTCCTAAACTGCAACTTTTAGGTGATAGTCGCTGGGAATTTTAGAATCTACAACTAAAAAATAAACAAGTTGTTGGTAAGGAGCATAGCAAGTGGTTTTGATTTGCTCAAGGTATTCTAAAATAAAAATTTTCATGAATTGTTCTAAGCCTAATGAACCTTCATAAGATGTTCTTCTTTAAAAAAAACCGAAAAATTATTTTAAACCATTATATACAACATGACGCGGCTCAAAATTCGAATAAAATAATATAAAGTACTTTAAACATCAATGTAAACAATGTCGGACGAAAATAAAGGTGTGGTCGGACGAAATAATGGTGAATTATGACGTTATTTGCGGTCGAACGAAAAAAAAATGTGGTTTGCCATTCCTCCCTCATTCATTAGACTTAAATAGTTGCACAATCACCCTTATCCCCCCTTTACACCATCACCCCTACCCAACCTTGAAAACATTATCAAAAATGTGATTTTGATTATTTTCTTTTCAAAGGTTTGTTGGTCAAGATTCAGAATCCAGTAAAGTAATGTTTTATTAGGCTTCACTTATGCATGTTTTCATATTTTAAACATTTTCAAATTTTAAACATTTTCTTACTTCACTTTCAAACTTCAAACATTTTTATGCTTCAAACATTTTCATACCTCAAACATTTTCATACTTCCAACATTTTAAACTTTAAACATTTTCATACTTTATTTTCAAACTTCAGACATTTTGTATGCTTCAAATATTTTACTATTTACAACATTTTATACTTCCAACATTTTCATATTTTTAACATTTTCATAATTCAGACATTTTTATGTTTTCTAAACATCCTCAAACTTCCGGCAATCAAAATATTTCTTATGATTGCTCATACATTTAACACTTTTCGCCTTCAAGCAGTTTTCTTTCAATTTTAAACTTTTTAAACTTTTTCCTTTTCTTATAAATTTAACAATTATCATACATATTTTCCTGTTTTACACATTTTTAAAACATTTTTGAATCCTAAGTTTTCTGAACGCTGCTGCAGCAAGGGTTCGAGGGGAGACTTCATCTTCGTCGGACATTTTTACTAAATTTCTGAGAAATTCTTTTTATTATTTTCGAAAAAAATAATTTTACAGCCTTATGACCATCATTACCGACCTACAATTCCCTCAACAAAGCGAAATTAAATAACTGTCCCTTGGGACAGTTATTTAAAATAATCAAACGTTCAGCGAAGTTTTCGTGAAAAACTGTTTGCAACTGCCCTTTCGGGAAACTATACTGAACCATGTGTTCCCTTGACCAATTTTGTCTAAAAAGCTTCCCTTCAGTGCGCTGTGGATGTTTAGTGTGCAAATGTTTTCTTGAGAATTCTTGGTAAAGTAAAATTCCCTTAACTTCCCTTTTTCGTCGTCGTTATTTAATAGTTAAAAAGACCGATTCTGAAAACGTACCCACCCAAAATTCATGATTTTGAACGTCGACTTTGCACTCAAACTCAGTAATTATATAACGTGGAAACGTTTTATATGTCTCAAATGAATCCCAAAGAATTTGTCCACAACACTGCATACTCAGTTTAACTACCTTACATAGCCGGTCTGTCCCTTTAATGTATGAAAAAATAGATTAATAAATTATGGAAGGAAGTGATTACTGGTTTAACCAAACTTTTTCTTTTCACTGGAAACAAATTAATTTAAGTTAAAATACCAGCTTAAACATTTTCAAATCATAATAATTCAATGAATCGAGAACTTTTCCAACCAGTTTAACAAATATCAGTTACTTATAAAAAGATATGTTTATACTTTGCTTGTTTGTCTGTTTTTATCCAATAAACGTGAAAACGACTGAACATATCGGACACAATTTTTGTTCTTGCAATTGACATGACCCTGGTAAAGATCTACTGATGGTTAAAGTTAAAGATATTTTCTCAGAAAAAAATGTCAACATTTTTATATATATATTATTTAGAGTTTTAGACAGCATTGACTGTTTCTGTTGATTATCATTACTTTTCACAAATATGAAACGAGAAACCAGAAAAATAAATGAATCCATCAGTTTACAGTTTTAAAGTTGCCAAATCATGAAAGTCTGGGAAAATGCAAATAGTAAAAACGTAAAAAAAATATTACTTTGAGCTCAAATATTATTTCACTGTTAATAGGATATCCGTGTAATTAGAAAATTAAAAACAACACAACAGACATTTTTTATATTAAATAAAAAAATAAAATCAAATTGAGGTTCTATGATCCATAAAAGAATGAAAAAATCGATAAAAAATAAAGCTAAAGTGTGTTTGCACGGTTTATCTCATCAAAACTAAACAGGTTTCTTATTTTTTGTCCTATTACTCTAATTTTTGACACTATCACCGTGAAAGATTTTGACTTTGAGAAAAAGAATTTAAAGGATCTTCCTTTTCTTTTTTAATGAATAGGGCACGGAACAAAGCGGTAAAAGTCCATTTTAACAAAAATCTATAATAGCCTATAACCTTTTTGTGAATAAAGCTACAGATCTAAAAACTACATTTTTGAAAAGCCCTTGAAAATGCATGTAGAAACTTGTGTCACATCTTGATATTTGTCTTAAAACAAAATAATTTATTTTTCGCATTTTTTTCCCGACCTTTTTTACATTTTTTTCGACCCTTTTTTACATTTTTTTTTACATTTTTTCCGACCCTTTCTTTGACATTTCTTAGACCTTCCTTAGCAGCACCAAAACTTTTAAAGTTAGCGGTCCAATTTTTCTAAATGGACTTGCCCAGACTATAAATAGATTCAGGCCTCTAGCCTTTACAGGGTTAAAAACTAAATTAGATACGTTTAAAGATGGGCGCGTTCGACATTGTTTGGGTTCGTTTGATCAAGTTCGTTAACTCACGTTCTAACTGGAATAACATGCTTTTAAATCGTTCGTTTTCGTTTTTACCTTTCTTTAAACAGAACGATTTAATTTGTTTGTTCGTCGTTTATTAATCTTTCTGAATGACATCATCGGAAATTATATCAATTTCGTTTGTTTCGAAATATTTGGTTCGTTAACGAAAACGATGACCATCTCTAGATCAGTTAATAATGTTCAAGAAAAGGAGCTTTTGAAGGACTAATCAAGGGAAAGTACACTGTTTAAAACACAAGATTAAAAATGTTGAATTTTTTGTGGGAATAATAAAAAATTTGTCGACAAAAGTCTGTCTTGCGGGAGTACAAACCAATCACTCTTGGATAACTCTCCAAGGTTAAGACTAATGAGAAAATATTCTGAACTATTCCGTCCTTTTAAGAGTTTCTAAGTTGTGGTAACTAAGTAGTAAGTTGTCTAATACCCTATACTGTACTAAGCTGTAAAATGTTGATGTATTCTAAGCTCTGTTTACCTAATGTATAAACAGAGACTTCAGGAGGGTGGAGAGGGGAGGCAATGCCCCCCGCCTTTTGCCATCTTCTATTACTATTTAATGAATTTATTAATTAATCAGGTCAAAAAAAACTTCTCTTTCTCGTTGGTCCAAGAAACAAGATACAAGACAAGTAGACAAGTAGACAAGTAGACAAGTAGACAAGTAGACAAGTAGACAAGTACAGGTATACAGGTAGACAAGTAGACAAGTAGACAAGTAGAAAAGTAGAAGACAAGTAGACAAGTAGACAAGTAGACAAGTAGACAAGTAGACAAGTACAGGTATACAGGTAGACAAGTAGACAAGTAGACAAGTAGAAAAGTAGACACAGACAAGTAGACAAGTAAACAAATAGACAGGTAGACAAGTAGACAAGTAGACGAGTAGTCAAGTAGACTGGTAGACAGGTAGACAGGTAGACAGGTAAACAGGTAGACAAGTAGACGAGTAGACGAGTAGACGAGTAGACAAGTAGAAAAGTAGACGAGTAGACGAGTAGACGAGTAGACAAGTAGACAAGTAGACAAGTAGACGAGTAGACGAGTAGACGAGTAGAAAAGTAGACATGCAGACAGGTAGACAAGTAGACAAGTAGAAAGGTAGACAAACAGACAAGTAGACAAGTAGACCAAATGGGCTGACATTATTTGGAGACACTCATGGGTAGCGTTGGGGTGATGTAGGATAAAAAAAATCGATTTAAAAAAAAAATTTAGATTTTTTTCACAGGCAACGCCGGGCCTTTAAGCTTGTAATATACAAATATGCGAGCTATACGGGTAATGATCTGAAAGTTTCCCCATCTTGTGAACATTTAGATAGATAGATAATTGTGGAACCTTGGAAGTGCAGTATTGTATTTGTTATAAACAAATCATAAACCTCAGGAAATGAGGGGATATCAAAATAATCCTATTGTGTAGAGAAAAACTAACTTAGGGCATGGTCATATTACAAAATTCAGAGGCAGATATTACAAAATTCAGAGGCAGATACAACAAAGTTTTCGAGGCTGATTTAACAAACTTTGGAGACTTATATGACAAACTTCGGAGAATGATAAAACAAACTATGGAGGCAGATACAACAAAATTTGGAGGCTGATTTAACAAACGTTGAAGGCTGATATAACAAACTTCAGAGAATGATGAAACAAACTATGGAGGCAGATACAACAAAATTTGGAGGCTGATTTAACAAACGTTGAAGGCTGATATAACAAACTTCGGAGAATGATGAAACAAACGTTGGAGGCTGATATAACAAACTTCGGAGAATGATAAAACAAACTATGGAGGCTGATATAACAAACTTCGGAGGATTAACAAACTACGGAGGCTGATATAACAAACTTTGGAGGATTAACAAACTATGGAGGCTGATATAACAAACTTCGGAGGATTAACAAACTACGGAGGCTGATATAACAAACTTTGGAGGATTAACAAACTATGGAGGCTGATATAACAAACTTTGGAGGATTAACAAACTATGGAGGCAGATATAACAAACTTCGGAGGATTAACAAACTATGGAGGCTGATATAACAAACTTCGAAGGATTATAAAACAAACCTTTGCGAGGTATTTTTGAAGGAAAGTAAAATAACAAAGGTGGGTAGTACTGTACAGGTAACTTTGGAGGAATGTCAATTCTCTCTACTATACAGCTCGTCTAATGTCTACTGCTATGTTCCTTCTCTAAATGACGCACTTCCTGCTCACATTCTCAACTCCCTGGCCAGGAACAGCTGATTCATTTCAGTTTTTATTTCCAATTTACCAAACGAAGAGGAGCTAACGTAGCAGAAAATATCACAAATCGGAGGTCATCAAAATAATCAAGGGCAGTATATATAACAACCTTGTATTAAAACAACTCAACTGGATATTAAAATAATCAAGGGCAGTAAATATAACAACCTTGTAATAAAACAACCCAACGGGATATTAAAATAATCAAGGGCAGTATATATAACAACCTTGAATTAAAACAACCCAACGGGATATTAAAATAATCAAGGGCAGTAAATATAACAACCTTGAATTAAAACAACCCAACGGGATATTAAAATAATCAAGGGGGGCAGTATTTTTAACAACATTGTTTTAAAACAACCCAATGGGATATTAAAATAGTTCAGAGGGCAAATTATAATCTCTGGAGGGCCGTATAACAAGGTAACCTCACAGGAGGGTAATACTAAACTTAACATTTTTTATTTACGTTTTAATTTTTGTTTACGAGTCTTTCAAAACACATTTTTATAGCATTTTACTTAAAAGGCTGCTTTACATCTTCCATAATAGGTAAAGCCTACAAAATGTGAAAATAAAAACAAAACAAGAACTTTCTTTGTTGATATAATTCTTAAAAGTACTGACTAAGTTTCTGATAAGCTGAATTATAAACACTATAAGTAGAAAAGCTGACTATGATATATATGAATACTACATTTTACCAGATTCTCACAAAATATTAATTATAAAAAGTAATAAAAGGAAAAAAATATTTACAGTTTATAAATCACAAAACTGTGCACTTTCTTTTTGTACAAACACGTTACAATTTTGAAACTGTTAAAACATAAAGAAAGTAAATACAAAGTATACATGTACTCACCAAATAAAGTCCTTGCAGTGACAGCAGAATGTTGGATGTTTAAAGAAGCGAGGAATGAATTTATGATTTTTAACCTCGGATACATTCTTCTTCTTCAGGGCTCCCTTCCTAGCTCTGCACACATACTTTTATTAGTTTATACACAACAATAAAAAGGTTATTAGTCAGCAAACAAATTAATATTATTGTATCTTTGCTATTATTTCCGTGTCCAGTTAAATGTACAGGGTTACCCACAAAGGATTAGATTTAGAGGCTGAATTACTGCCATGTATATTGTATATAATTGTTAACACTTAATGATTGGCCAGAGAAACAAAATATTTAACAGTTTGAGGTAACCATGAATGTAAGAAAAAAGGCTCTGAGTAAATTCCGTACAGTCGTCTCATCCTGTGTGGGTATCTCTGTAATATGGATGGAATTTGTTTTGATCCGGACCTAGTTGTTAAAAATCTCAAATTATGATTTTCTTATCTTTTATTGAATTGTCTTCATTAGTCATTGACATAAAAACTTATGAAGAAAGCAAGAAAATCAAAATTCAAAAAATTTAAATTTTTTGATCAAATAAAAAGTTTAGTTAAAATAAATAAATTCAGTTTTTAGTACAGATCTTTGTAGTTAATGTAAAATGAATGACTTTAATGAAGGGTATAAAACAAGGTGAAAGCTGAAAGGTATGTAATGAAGCCTTTATTAGATTGAGTTTGTAAATCCCAGAAATGAGTGGAAAATGCAAAGCAAACCCAATTAAAACCAATAATTTGATATACATCATGATATTTTTCTAGGGGGGGGTAAAAAAAATTTCGGCGCGCTTCGCGCGCTAAACTGAAAATTTTTACCCCCCCCCTACAGAATCCTTATATCCGCCCCTGAAATTACGTTTTTAAAAATCCCTTGTTGGCAAAATAACTTAACAATATCTGTTTGCTAAGAAGGTTATTCTTTAAATAATTCCAAAGAATGTTCTGAAAACATAATTCTGAAACTGAACCTTCTTAGAGAAAAATATTCCATGTTCGCTCAACCTTTTTCCGTAATCTGTATTTTCTCATCATTTCCTGGGACACAACATTACCACGCTTCGATAAACAAATGAATATACAAAAAAAAAGAGATTGGAAAGAACGTGATATATTCAATATTGTTCACAGACTAATATGAGGGGGGTTGGAAGGAAGGAGGGGGAGTTTAAGGGGGACTCTCTGGGTTCTAAGAAAAAACACTTAATTTTCAGAAGAATGTAAAGGAACGGAAAATCCCTGGCCCCTCCCCCCCTTAATCCAATGTATACTTAGTGCTTACTAGGAATATAGAATAAATGTATTTTCAAAAGAAAGTGCAACTTAAAGGTTTTCCTTAATTAATTACTTGAGTCCTAGCACCCCCTTACTAGGAAACATATAATATTCATATGTATCTGATTTAATGTAGATTATAGAGACTTTAGACATAATCGAAGTAATTGTCTCTCTAAAGTGGGCCAAAGCCGATTCACATCGGTAACCCTTTAAACCTTAAACCTTTATCTGATAAATAGTGGAAGAGATCCTTTGTTTTTAAGATTTAAGAAATGCTTAGTTCTGAAAACTTCCTCCATATTTCCTGTGGCACAAGTCCACAAATCAGTTAAAGAAAATTTTAAATTTCAAAACAGAAAAATGTGGACAACTCATTTATTTTTGATCCGACAAACCTGTTAATGATACCGTTGCGAATCTGAAAGCTAACCAACTTGAATTTAAGACCCTTAAAACAAGAAGCTGAAAATAACCTGAGTCTGGTGACGTCATGCACCTCCTCAACCAACTCCTTCTCATCCAAAGTCATGTTTAAGCCTCGCCAGCTGACAAAACAAAGATGGCCGTCTTGTGTTTTTAATCAAAGATGGCCGCCTTGCAATCAATCACGAAAAGGACGCTTCCCCTTTACCGCCTCAGAATCCAATCATATGTTAATCTGAAAATAGCATAGGTTCAATTTATTATCTAAAATTCTAAAGTTTTACGCTTTCAATTCTATAATTGCTGAAAGCAGCAGAATTCTAAAAGTAAATTTTTATTATTTACGTTGAATTGTGACGCTTAGTTAATTATAAATCGATTATGTCACTCGATGAATCCGCTAGGAATATATATTTCAAGTCTTGAATAATATATTTGCAAAACATATGTAATATTTCACAAGTGTTTACATAAAAATCAAGAAGTGAAGGATTGAATAAAAATACTCTGAAATCATTGCAAAAGCTTTATGAAAGATTGCCGATATCTATCTGAAAACAAATCAAATTTTCTATCGTTTTAAAGTTGAAAAATATTACCACCCCCCCCCCCCTCTTTTAAAAAATATATTCAGGCTTAGAAGAATGTAGTGTAGAATAAAAGTGAGTAAATACATCGAAAAAGAAAACTGAGACATTTTCAGATCTAATCATACACTCAGGCACTTATCTATTCCCAAAACAGGAGGAGGGGGGGGGGTGAGTATATTTGTTAAAAAGGGATGGGAAAGGTAAGGAATAGGAATGGGAAAGGTAAGGAATAGAGATGGGAAAATGTAAGGAATAGGAACGGGAAAGGTAAGGATATGAATGGGAAAGGTAAGGAACAGGAATGGGAAAGGTAAGGAATAGGAATGGGAAAGGTAAGGAATAGGGATGAGAAATGTAAGGAATAGGAATGGGAAAGGTAAGGAATAGGGATGAGAAATGTAAGGAATAGGAATGGGAAAGGTAAGGAATAGGGATGAGAAATGTAAGGAATAGGAATGGGAAAGGTAAGGAATAGGGATGAGAAATGTAAGGAATAGGAATGGGAAAGGTAAGGAATAGGGATGAGAAATGTAAGGAATAGGAATGGGAAAGGTAAGGAATAGGGATGAGAAATGTAAGGAATAGGAATGGGAAAGGTAATGAATATGCATGGGAAAAGTAAGGAAAGGATGTGGAAAAGGTAATGGAAAAGTAAGGAATTTGAAGAGGTAAGGAATAGGGATGGGAAGGAAAAAAAGAGATGGGAAAGGTTAAGGAAAGGAGATGGGAAATATAAGAGAAAGGGATGGGAGATAAAAGGAAAAGGCAGATAACGAGAAAGAAAGAGGAGAAGGAGCGGAGTAGATAAAAGTTTAGATTTACAACAATAAAATTAAAATTTCACGGAGTAAGGGTAGAAATTGATAGATTATTGTAAACGCAATTGTAATTTGCTTATTCAGAGTAGGGGCTGGGTGGAGCTGGGGAGAGGGGGTAGAGTATGTGGGGAGAGGGGGGATATTGGAGGGGAAGGGGGGCTATTGGAAGGGGGGGTGTACTTCAGACAATAAGAATACTTGTTATACATAAGAATATGTAAGTTGGTTAGTTCGTATTAGCATAACAAACTAGAAAAAGAGAAAATTTAGAGGAAAAGAAAACTATTTAGGAAGAATAAGGAAGAGAAAACAATTTAGGAAGAATAAGAAAAGAAGAAGGAAACACGAAAGAAAACGGGAGAACAAGGTAGGAAAAGGAAAGAAAAGGAAGGAAAATGAGAAGGGAAGAAAGATAAGGAAAAGGCAGAAAAATCAAGTGAGAGGAAGGGAAAGGAAGGAAAAGAAACAAAAGAAGAAAAGAGGGAAAGGAAGAAAAAGGAAGAGAAAGGAAGGGAGGGGAAGAAAAAGAAAGAAAAAGAAGGTAGAAGAGACAAAATTAAAAGAAAATGAAAAGAAGGAAAGGAAAAGAAAAGAAAAGAAAGGAAGGAAAAGGAAGGAAGAGGAAGGGAAAAGAAGGAAAAGAAAGGGGGAAAAGGAGGAAATGGAAGAGAGAGGAAGGAAACACAAGGAAAAGGAAGAGACAGGAAGGAAACGCAAGGAAGAGGAAGGGAAAAGAAGGTAAAGAAAGAGAAGGAAGAAAAAGTATGTAAAGAAAGGTAGAAGAAGGAAAAGGAAGGGAAAGTAAGGAAAAATAAGGGAAAAGAAGGGATAAGAAGGAAACAGAAGAGAAAAGACGGGAAAAGAAGGGAAAAGAAGAGAAAATTAGGGAAAAAAAGGGAAAAGAAGGAAAAAGAAGTGGAAGGAAGAGAGAGGAGGGAAAATGAAGGAAAAATAAGGAAAAAGAAGGGGAAGTAAGAGAGAAGAAGGAAAATGAAGGAAAAGGAAGGAAAAAGAAGGATAAGGAAGGAAAAATAAGGGGAAAGAAGAGAGAGGAAGGAAAATGAAGGAAAATGAAGGGAAAAGAAGGGGAAGTAAGCGAGAGTAAGGGAAAAGAAGGAAACAGAACCTTCCCTGATCCTTTCCCCGCTTTTTTATTTTAAGAATTTTGAATAGCCTAACATAATTTTTTTTCAAGATGTAGAAGTGACAGAATTAAAGTGCAAATCCATATGTATCTCTAGTCTTAATTTGTTTCTAGAATCATTTCTGCAAGAGACATAAATGTATGAAGATTTTAATATGATTTCATAAAATATGTTTAACACATTTTTGGAAGTTATCAAGTCCATGAATAGTTTTAGAAAGGAGTTTCTCAATCATAGTATTTGGGAAAATTGACTTAGATGTCTCCAGTCTTAATTTTACGCGAGGCACGAAAGATTATTTTTTAATTTTTTTAGTTTGAAATAAAATCAATAAAGTGTAAACATCAAACATGGTTTCCTCTAATCCGAAGAAAAAAGATTGAAAATGTATAAAAGTTGAAATATTATAAATAAACAAGACTTTTATCATGGCCATAAATATTCATAAATCTGTAAATCAAAAAAATCAAAAATGAAATAAAAGATACACATTTCAAACCTTGAGATTATCTAAAAAATTGAGAGTTCAACATTATTATCTAAAGATCAAGGGGGCTTCGCACCCCTCGATCCTTGGTTAATCTTTAAATCTTCATTCTGCAAATTCGGAAGAAAGACCAGGTTATCAAGGGACAAAAATTAATGAATTTGAGCTACGTCGCTGAAATACCTAATGCCGGTTCAAATTTGAACCAAAGATTCAAAGTTAAACCTCAGGAAGGAATTGAATCGGTGATTCAAATTTAAACCGGGGGTAGGCAATTCAAAGACCGGGCTTAACACAGATCCTTTAAAAATCTAGTGCAAACGTTTTGACGTTTTACAGCTTAGAAACCAAAGATATAAAAAAAATGAAAATTAAGCAAAAAAATATCTTTGTATTAGTTCGAAATCAATGTTTAACATTTTAAAAAAAGATCATTTTCAATTGCGGCTTCTATACCAAAAGTGACTTGTGCATTTCTATTGCAGGAAAACTATAGAAATCACAGTTTAACACTTTTAAAGCTAGAACAATGACAGTATTTTTCACATTATGTGTAAGATAAAGGTTTCCATGGTACCCTTATGAATCGGGCATTATTATCTTTGCATAGAGGGTTACTTTTTACGCCTTCAATCTCTTTAAGAAGAGAAAACAAGAGTAAAAGAGCCAGATCTTTAGACAATCTCTACGAGCTCTTCTTTGTTTATGAAGAAAAAAATTGAAAAAATATTCCAGGGATGATAATTTTCTTTAAAAACATTTTCCCAACATACTTTTTCAAAGTATGTTGAAACCTCCCCACGATCGCAGTATTAATTTGGAGGATTTTCAAGGTCAATACTTTGAACATCATCTTGATCTGATGCCGACAAAGCTTCAAAAAATAGTTATTCCCCGTATACCCCACTGAGAATATTTAATGTAAATCCTCACGGCTTGATGAGTGTTCTCGCAAACTTGTATAAATAAACTAAATTTTATCACGTTTTCTGATCAAGGAAGATTTGAGATTTTAGACTAAAAATGCATTTTATGAAATTAGAAACACAAAATATTCTTCGTTTATTTTTAAATAAGAAAAACCAGTTGTGAACAGAGGCA